TCTCCCATTAAAAATAAATTTAATGTTTTGTCAATTTGGCAGAGCTTTCAAAGAAACATTTCTTGGCTTTTATTTTTCAATCTAACATTTTCATTTTCTATTCTAAACTTTTCTACTCTTTACTTCATAATCTATTTTTTAATATTTCCATTGGACTGTTACTTTGTTCCTTTTCTTATGCTTTTAAGGGAAAGTTAAATCTACTTATTTTTTATTTTTATTAAATTTGCTTCTAAGAATACCTTTAGCTACATGCTATATATTTGATATGTGACATTATTGCTGTAATTTTCTTTTACAGTCTATATTGCTTTTTAGTAGCCAGTAGAAGCTCTGAGCTCACTCTTCCAACACACACTTACACTTGCAGAGAGGATTCCTAAAACGTGGCTGGCAACATCTCTCCTTCAGGGTTCTCAGGGTTCCAGAGAAGTTTTTGCTATAGTTCACAACCCCAAATTGGTATGCTTCAGTTGATTTTACAATTTTTAAAATATGATAACTGTCTAATAGATTATTATTTAGTTTATGTATAGCTTTATATTTTTTCTCTTTTTAATATTTTTTCTCTCATTTTGATCTGAAAATACTGAATATGATTTTCAAATGTGTAAATCTCTTACACGTTAAATTTTTGTGGGCATTCCATAGGTACTTGAAAAGTTTATGTATAAGTGCAAGTATACATATACATATATATATTCATATATGCAAATATATATAATATGTACATTATTTCTCACACTGTTTTCTCTGTGTATCTGAAATTCCATTTTGACTATTAAACATTTTTATCATTTTCTTTATTTGCTTTGCCACACTCTTGTAATACTAGAAGTTGCCTATTATATTATGTCTATATCATTTTATGTAACTGTTAATCTTTTAATGAATTTATCAAATTGTGTGGTTTTAAATTAAGGATTGTTACATATCTGGTATTCATTCTTTGTTCACCACTCAAGTCTACGCATGTTTTGACATTTCAATTTATTTCTAATTTTAATTCAACTCTATTAAGTATATTGCTAAAACTTTTGATTTGTTAAACTTATATTTGCATGATTTATTTTAGATCAAATTCTTAATTTTAATCTACACACATATACACATTAAGGATGCTTCCTGCAAACAGTATCAATGAGTTTTGCTTCTTGATTCACTCTGTAACCATTTTCTTTCCACTAAGACCATTCACAGTTATAAGTAATAAACTAAATATCATTTTGTAAATTTTCTTATTGTTCTTGATCTTTTCTGAAGATTAGCCTCCTGAACCCATGAAAACTTGTGAATAAAAACAAGGTATATTTCTGATTTTAGTACTATTTCTTCACTACACTAAAGTTTAACTCTTTTAATTATAAACAGAAGTGTACTTTTTTCCAAATGGTAACTCTTTTCCCACTTTCACCTTCATTTTTCACAGTAATAGTTTTTCACGTATGTTAAATACTTGTTTAATAGTGAGTGAACAAATGTAAAGTAAGCAGAACTAGAGAAACTACAAACAACCACACACATGTAAATGGAAAGTAAAATAATGTTAAAAAAAACAAATTGAATGAAGAGAAAATATAATAACTAAGTTTGGAGACCCCCAAAATATATGAAAATGCACTTTCCTTCATTCATTGCTAAGACCTCTTAAACAATTCTGAGGCAGAACTCACCTACAATAGTTCTTCATTGGATTTCTTGCTAATTATTCAGTTTGGTGAGAACTACAGCAGCTCACTTTTTCTTCAGGCAGCTATCTTGTTACTACAGAATTTATTAGATGAATTAAATATATTATATCACTGAATCCAAAATGGAAAAACGCATCAAACACTATGCTAAGTGCTAGGGACATAAAACACAAAAGAAGAGATTTCTTGCCCTCAAGAACTTTACATTCTACTGGGGAAACAGGATGAGACCAATGGTCTGATCAGTCACAAAGATATAAATGAAAACGTAGATCAATCCATTGATACACCCTTAACAGAATCACTCCAGTGACTCTGTGTGACTTTCAGTATCAGAAATGAAGTCCAACATTGGGCAATTAAAGCCCTTCACAAGCAAGCCCCTTCCAATCTGCTTACACACTACTTTTCTCCATCACACTCTATTCTCTATTCCTCCCAAATGACACGCCACATGCCAACTCGCTTTATACTTTATGCTAACTGAAATGTTCTCCTTCCTCTTCCCCTCAGTTTCCCGGGCTTCTTTTCCCAGTCTCCTTAGCTTCTGCATAAGAAATTATTTTCCATCCATCTGTATATATCTAGTTATTTTCACACTGTCTCTCCCATTTGAATATGAGATCCCTGAATGCAGGGACTATATATTATTTTGGCTTTCTTTTTATTATCAGAACTTAGAGCAGTGCCTGGCACATAGCAAAAACTTTTTAAATACTTGCTGATTGATTAATAGTGATTTGATTACAATCACCAAGGAAAGAGTTCCAAAGGCAGAACTGAGAGTGAGAGAGTACATGTACTCATGGCTCTAAGAAGTACACAGCTGAGCGGCTTACTTCTTCTCAGCCTCTGGTAGTATGACTTGGAAGATGGCAGCGCAAATGGAAAATGGTGGAGTTGTAGATGAAGACACATGATCCTAGGGAGGGCAGAGCCAAGCGCTTTAGGTCCATCCAAGGATAAATTGGTATACATACTGGTATAAATTTCCTGACAGGATAATAGGATAAACCTTAGTTTAGATGAGAGAACATGGCCCATTGTTTAAGTATCAGCCTGTAAACTAAGGTATCATGAATTCTGATCCCAACTCTGCAATGGTAATAACACTGTATTTAGTAATATGACTAAGCTGATTCTAAAGGAATATATCAGAACTTATAAACTCAAATATACATTGTTTCTCAAAGTAGTCATCATTTTACCAATGATTTCATTAAACTGCCATTAACTCAAAATATGTTAAAATTCCTTTTTCAAAATTGTCGTCAATGTTAGCTGACAAAGTCCACAAGAAAAAAAAGTCTTTCTATGACTTTTCTAGTTATATGTGGTTATTCTGCTTTGTTTTTTTTAAGTATTACTCACCTTGAATATTCACCATATTTATGAGACTTAGATATAAATAAGTTTTGATTTTTTCCAAAAATTCAATCTACCCTCAAAGACCAAATATTTGCCACAATTAAGATTATGCAAGATAGCAATGTTGTGGTAATATATATACATTTCTATAATAGAATTATAAGGAAGGGGACAATATTGCTTTCAATATATACTTTTTGGTAGGTAGAGGTAATAGATACCAAATAGATAATATTTCCACTTATGTTGCTTGAAAAGTCAAAGATGTTCATATTTCAAGAAGCAGAGCAATTTCTTCTAAAGAGTTTTTCTTCTTTGTACAGGTACTAAATTTCTGGACTTTGATACAATTTTATTAGACTTTATTTTCTCCCAAGTCCCCCCCCAAAAACAAACAAAACCCAACCCCAAACAGTTCTTTTTTTTAAAAAGGATTTCAGAAATCTGTTGAGTATTGCATCTAAGTAGCACAATAAAGCAAAACACTAGATTATTAATATTTATGCTAGGATTTTAAAAGAGTAAGAAAATGAAAACATGGTAGGAGAAGAGGAATAGGGTAATTTCTGAGACAAACAAAAAAAGCAACTTCTTCATACCTTGAACCATTTAGAAGCCAAATGATTGGTCTTATGGACTAAATCACTGAATAGCTTCACACGGGGAGTAGCAGAAAAGCAGAAAACAAAATAAATAAGAAAGAAAAAGCATGGTATTAAAAGCAAATTATAATCAGAGTCAGGCAATAATAAGCTTGAAAAAGAAACACAATCGACAGCAGCATGCAATCAATGTAGTGAAAAGAAATAAACCTAGAATATAGATAAAACCTACTGTTAAAATTAATAAAAGTCTATGTTTTGTATATATCTTCAGTGTGAACATTTTCATTAAATAAAGAGTGAAAGGTGAAAAGCAAGGGATAAAAGAAATTTCAAGGAGGAAAAAATTAAGACTTTTTAAAATGAAGAAAAGAATGTAGGGGGGGAAATGGGTGAAATACAACTAAAAGGAAATCTCCTTCCAGTCTTGGACCAATGACTGCTTGCCATTCCTCCACTACCTAAGGTCAGTTGAACTGGTACACAGGGAATTATTCAATAATTGGACACAACATTTGTCTAGAAGCAGAGCAAGGAAGACCACTCACTTTGAGACCTGATAAATTTTCTCTTGGTACTGCTAAAAAAAAAAAAAGTCTTATCATGAGAAAGCATCCTCGTGGTATATGCATAAGACTGCCTCCAAAATGAAGGTTCTTCTTATTTCTCAACTTGCTGCAAAAGGAAAAATCTCATAAAAATTATACCAAATATTCTCAACTTAAGGCAGCAAAATCAATCAAACAAAATTTGATTAAAATCACAAATGTAGTCAACTCAGTAAGGGAAAAGGATAACTGACATAAGGCCCCTTCAGTGGACCTGAAAAAAATGGCACTTTATTCTTTTTAACTTTTCCTTGCTAATTACCCTTTGAATGTTATTAATGAAGAACAGAAAGATGGAGTAGTGGGATAAAAATCAATTTAAAAAATATAAACTAAAATGTTATGTTCCCTGCTCTCAAAGAGCTTACAATGTAAAAATATGAAAATGCATAGGCAGAAGAATTATTCAAAATGCTGTTCAATGAAAACTCTATTTCAATGTTAAATTGGTTTCCATGATTCCAGTAACTAAGAAGATGCATGAAAACATACAAAACCAATGCCTCAGAGAAGAGTACTATCACAATGTGATTTCAAGATATACATGTATATTTAAATTCCCATACACTTAATGTTAAAGAGACGCTTCCAACTTCGGGAACACTGATCCTGACCCTGGAATACTTAAACATGGCCAAGTGTTAAGATCTGCGAAACATAAGATGCGACCTAGAACTAAGAAGTTACCAGCTGAACTGGCAGAAGTGCCAGTCATTGACAAAATAGCAGACCTGTTTTTCAGCACTGGTCCTGGCTGACTCCTCTTGAGCTAGCACCATTTCTCGTTCAGCAGTTATCTGTACACTTTCTCTTAGAGCCTCTTCTAGTTCTTCAATTCTGTCATCCTTCTTACGGAGATTGTCCTGGAAAATGATGGAAGATGGGATGAAGAAGACCAATGCAGACCAAAAGAAGACCTTGTTTTTCAAGAAAGTGATCATGGCTAAAACAATTCTTTCCTCCCAGAAGCAAATTCAGGAAGCAGAAAAAAAGTATCCAGAGAGAAAAGGAAAGAAGAAAGGAAGGAAGAGGAAGTAATAAAGACTGAAGGGACGAGCAAGCAAAGCAAGACAAACATGCTGGATGATGAACTGCATGATGCAACAGCACCAATAAAATTGCTTGCATTAGCATAGGTAGCAGAGTTTATTAAGGAATGTAGACATTTTGGAACCCATAATCTTGGTTTACAGCCAACTGAAATGGAGTCCATATAGCTAAACTGAAGGCCTACATACTCTGTTTCTTCTAGGCAAGTCATACTACGTGGAGGTAAAGAAGCCTTTATTATTCTCACAAAAAAAAATTCTGGCAAATTAATATTTTAAAGAAGAAAATCAGAGATGTTTGGGGAATATAGAGTTTCATATGACTCTAGAAAAATCTTTGTGTACACTTATTGAAAACCCCCATTGAAACGTAAGTGAGAGTTTTGGCCTCTGTGTTCCAACTCATCACTGGTCCTTGACAATTCTTCAATAGTAGGTAGTTTCGTTTGTTCTGAAAGGAATCTGTTCTCAATACTGCTAAAGTTATAATTTATTCATAAGAAGGCTGCCAGAAAATCAAAGAAATTGATCCAAAATCCCAAGATACTAAGATAACTGATCATGAATGAGATCTTGAAGGAAGAATAAGAGATCTTGAGATAAAGTATACTGAAGACTGGATTCACTCAATTCACGGTTACAATAGCAAACATGTCTCACTGTCATGCCTGGCCCAAAGGACTGAGAAAATGCACTACTTCTTAAGATTCAGGAAAAAATGATGTGCTATTTTCAACAATAATGATGGAATTCAAAGAATGAAAAGGGGAAGGGATTAAGAGCTCTATTTTGTGCAACTCATTAATTTATTTTACTATTTATTTTTATATGTGAGAAAGCATGATGTGAGTTTGTCTTCTGAGTCTTAAGCTCTTGATCACTCCTAGGTAAGAACTTCTCCTATCTGTGGGCTAGGAGGTAGAAATTGAAAGGACAATCACATTTAATACTTTGCTTTAATTCTAAGATAAAAAGGCTTAGTAATCTTTTGTTTACTATTCTCCTCGAAACAAGAAAAAGTTCAGAATGACATTCAAACCTAGTTAACATTTGAAACTATATCACTTGAATTTGATTTTCAAATTATCAAAAAGATATTGTTCTTCTTCTGGGTTGAAAGTAGAACTAAATGAAAAAACTGGGAAGAAGATAAGAATGTAATTAATGATAGTTCAATCTCCTCAAATACCTCTCTGACTGCCTTGTCAACAATAACACAAAATGTTGAAATTTAATATATTTTTTTTAAACAAATTACTTCCCGAGATCCAACTGCTAATAGTTTCTTTCATTATAATTTTATCTTCATGAATACTATTTTTTTTTAGTTAGACATGGTATTCTAAGAGCAACTAGGTAAAAACACCAGAAGAAGTGTAAGAAATGGTTTAGAGAGCTAGTAATCTGTGAAGGATTAGTAGCAAAGTGATGGGTGAAGAACTGCTAAAGAAGGATCAAAGAAGTCTAAATGATGGAAACTGTAAATTGACTTGCTATATTTACATAAAACCAGTGATTAAGGTCAGCTCATAGTTCAGTTCTATAGAGAAAGTCCATTGATTGGATGAAAGTCCTTTGACTACATTGACAAAAATCAGTTTCAAAAGTTTTTTTCCCCTATATGAAACGAACAAGTGCCACAGGAAATTTTAAAAAAGCCAAAAAAAGGGGGGGGATAGAGGATAAAATGATATTTTATTATATAATTGATATAAATATCCTACCTAAAATGAGTGTCAGCAGACATTTTCAGTTAACTAAAATAAGCCAGAATATTCACAAAGCAAACACTGATGACAGAGATCTTATTCCTCAGAACATAATAGGAAGAATCCATTCAAAAAATAAAATTTGGCTGCAATTTTTTAGGTCTCTCTCTCTCTCTCTCTCCCCACCACCCCCCTCTCTATCCCTCCCCCTTTAAGGCAACTGGGGTTAAGTGACTTGCCCAGGGTCACATAGCCAGTGTTAAGTGTTTGATCTGAGGTCGGATTTGAACTCAGGTCCTCCTGACTTCAGGGCTGGTGCTCTATCCACTGAGCCACTTAGCTGCCCCACTGCAATTTTTTTTTGAGACTTAATAACAAACCTACTAAGATGAGCAACAGAGTTTCCTTTCCCTTTTATTTACTTTATATTCAGACCTTCCATCTAACCCAAAAATATAGAGAGATAGTTCCAGAAATGAGGCAGCTAGGTGGTACAGTGGATGTAGTGCTAGGCCTCAAGTCAGGAAGACTCATCCTTCTGATTTCAAATCTGGCCTCAGACACTTACTAGCTGTGTGACCCTGGAGAAGAAAATGGCAAACCACTTCAGCATCTTTGCCAAGAAAACCTCAAATGGGGTCATGGAAAGTCAGACATGATAAAAACATCTGAATAACCAAAAAGTCCCAGAAATAAACAGTGTAACTTTGTGATACCTCACAACAATGGTGTAACAAAACAAATATTTTTTAATTGCTTGCTTACTAGTCCAGTGGAAAATGAGCATCTATTTCACATGGAGTTTTATTTGAATATGCAACATCTTTTTTTAAAACTCTTAATATAAAAGAAATACAATTATTTTTCATTTGTGGTAGCGGAATTTCTTGGCATTGAGAACCCTACAAAAAAGAAAGGGTCTTAACAGAGAGATAAAATTTCTCATTTTAAAACAGGTTTCTGATGATATCTTAGTAGTTAGTTTCATATTTAGTATATTCACCTATAAATAAAAATTTCATCATCAAAGAAAAATTATTAGTTCTTCATATATCCTGTAAACCAAAAAAGACATCGGCAAAAAACAATGGACATTCTATATTGCTCCAGAAACAGACAATGACAAAAGTACACTGCACCTCTGAAATAGTCTCATAAAATACCTCCACGTGAGAAAATTGAGGCTCAAGGGATTTTAAGTTATCTATCTACTATAATATATACTTAGCACACACAAGAAATCTACCAAAAACTGAGCAACAATGTAGTAACAAAAATGACTGGTATTATAGATTACTGTCACTATGATGAAAATATTTTGAGTAAAACTTCATCAAAGAAAATCTAGGAATAATTCACAATAAAAAAGTCAGATTTGTAACAGGCATAATACATTATTTAAACATTAGGAAAAGAAATAGCATAGTTTACCACATAAACAACAAAATCTTAAAATAATTGCTGACAATATAAAATACTTGGAAGTCTACTTGTCAGCACAAATCCTGGCATATGAACACATTAACAAAATACTTTTCACATAAATAAAGACAAACCTAAACAACTGAAGAAATATTAACAGCTCATGGATAGGACAAGCCAATATAATAAAAAGAACCCTAAGTTAGTTTATTTTTTCAATGCCATACCAATCAAACTACCAAAGAATTGTTTTATGAACTAGAAAAAATAATAACAAAATTCAACTGGAAGAACAAAAAGTCAAGAATATCAAAGAATTCAATGATAAAAATATGAAGGAAGGTGGCCTAGCAGTACCAGATTTCAAACTATATTACAAAGTGGCAATCACGAAAACAATCTGGTCCTGCCTGAGAAACAGAATAGTAGATCAGTTGAATGGATTAGTTACACAATACACAGTACAAAATAACCACAGTAATCTAGGGTTTAATGAAGCCAAAGATGCAAGTATTGGGGTAAGAATTCACCACCTGACAGAAGTTGCTGAGAACATGGAAAGCAGTTTGGAAGAAACTAGGCATAGTTTTCAGACCACATAACAGACCACACTGTATACCAACATAAGATTAAAACGGATAAGTGATTCTGACATAAAGAGTGAAATCATAAGTAAATTAGGGGAGCGTGAAAAAAATGTACCTGTCAGATCTACGGTTTAGGGAAATGATTTAAGTAAATTTAAGTTTAAATTTTCCTTTTACTTTCATCACATACTGATCTTTCATATCATACCTGCCGACATGGGAAAAGAGAAGCTATCACTCTACCCTGTTCCTTCAGCCTCCCTGACTGGAGGCAAAAGAAGAAGCATCATTCCATCAATTCCTCCTGCTAGTCCCCTAGTCTGAGCTTCTTAACACCCTGGGAGGATTTCATCTTGAGGATCAACCCTCTACAGATGTTGATAACCAAATTCCCACTTGGTTATATCCTCCACATCTCAGAACCCCCAGATCACATTATTCAAAGCCCTTTCTCCCTCCCTCTACTTTCCAATCCCTTATTCCTATCCCCCTCAAGCAACCTGCTCCAACCCCCACAATATCCTACACTAAAGCTATCCACCCTTTCCACTTTGCTCTCTGGGATGCTTGCTCCACAGTAACAAACTTGCTTTCATTTCAAATCTTTTCCTTTCCTATTCCTTTCATCCACAGGTTCTCACTGAGACCTGGCTCCCTGCAGAAAACAGCTTCCTTGGCCTCCATTCTAGCCCTGGTAGTATTTTCATTCATTGTCCCAACAGGTCAATGTCAGGGAGTTGGAATCCTTACTGCCCTTTACTGTCACTTCCAGGCTCACTCTCTATCACCTTTATTCCACCTCTGAGGTTCATTCAATCCACTTATGCCACTCACGAGCCATTGCTGGTTATCCTAACTTATGTCTTGTCACTGGAATCTGAATGACTAGAGCAGAGAGTGAGGCTGATGACTTTCCACACCTTTCCATACTTAAATCCAAGTCACTTGCAAGTCAAGACATTACCCGCCTGATGTCAATGGTCCTCTTCGAGAACAAACGATGAACAACAAACAATATTTGCCACCTAATCAAAATTCAGGTACCTATTTGCTACCAACTTTCAGGACGTGCCCTTTCTTTCCTCAGTGAGTTCAA